GGAAACGCTGCACAAATTTGTGCGCTGACTCAAAACACACACACACGCACACACACACACAACAGCCAGTGGCCAAATGCATAAAATGAATATTAAATTAAAGTTGAAAACGAATTTGCCCCCTATTGGAGTAACAGCAGCAGCAGCAGCAGCAAGCGGCAACAACAACGGAATTCACTGGAAAAGGCATCGGCAACATCCGGCCTGCGCCTGTCTACAAATTTTTTGTATTTCGTTTTTTTTTTTTATGTTGGTTTTTTGGCAAAGTTGCGCCAAGAGTTTTCAGTGGCTGCGGCCTGTGCCAATTCGCTGCGCACAAGTGAAACTGCCCGCATGGCCCAGCTACCAGCTACCAAGTTCCATCTACAATGCCGCCAGCAGCTTCAGTTGCATGCAACCACCCAAAACTGTCTCCGACTAACTGCGTAATTGAGAGCGAGCAGAAGAAATGTCTCTAGCTGAGTGTGCACGACTTAAAGATGCCCTGCAAACAGCTCCAAATTACAAATATTTGTATGTACATTAGGAACTGCAAGTCTTATCACTTTTCAGAATACAAATTGAACCCGATTGAATATTATATTTTTTTTTAAAGATTTAAATATTTGTTTTTCATCTTTTAAATAAATGTTAAATAGTATGAATTGAATTGATATTTAAATAAAAAAATATATATAAATATAATTTGATTAAGTTTTTAAAAGGATATAGCCAAAATATATTTACTTTAATTTTTAACTTTTACTTTTATTTAAAATAAAATAAAATAAAATATTACCTTCGACTTTTATGTATGTTGGAAGTTTATGTATGTTTTTTGTTTTATGTAAAAGTTGGAAGTTTATTTAAGTTAAAACTTTTGTATTCTTCTATAAATGTTGTTTTTATCCTTTTAATCCTTATAGACATTTCAGGTCTTACAAATACAAATTAAAATATTCCCATATGAAAAATCCACTATATGGGAGGTTGGCATATAAATATAAACAAAAATTAAAATATTCCTTAGCTGCTTGTTTTTGACATGCGAAATTAGGTGCTTTCATTCGCTTGCTGCACTTGTTTGCCATAGTTTATTATACCCTCATTTCAGTTACTCAGTTGGTACAGGGTATTAAAAATCTCTGATTGGTTGCCCTGACAATGCTGGCAATAACTTCCAAAAGCAGACAAAGAACGTGTGCCGGGCCAGGGTCTGTGCCTGGACGGGCCTGGACTTGCGCCATGCGGATGTTAATGAAGCCATTGCCTAGGCATCGAAAGCTAAAATTTGCAACGGACCAGCACGTGTCGGATGACAGTCAGTTCCGCAGTCACTGCGGCTGTTTGTTGTGCAAGGTTAGGGCGTTGCTCGCTGGGCTGTGCCAGCCGCTAATGGCGTTTACATTGGTCGATGATCTCCCCACCCGAACGCCGTAGCTGACGGCTGACTGATTGATTTGAGTAAACTTTGACCGGCTGCCATGTCACAAATCAGCAGCAGATGCTTGCAAAGTGGAAACTAGAGCAGCAGCAGCGGCAAAGCAAATATAGATGACAGGCTTACGCTTATCTGGCACAATGCGCAGACGGAAGTGAAGCTACTGACCAGCCTGCAGCTTCAGTGGCAGCTTCGGGTTAGCTTCGGAGGCAGCTTCGGGGGCAACTTCTTTCGAGGCAATTGTCATTTGTAAAGCGCTGCCAATGAAGCGAAAAGTATGACGCGTTGTGCGTTGATAATGTGAAAATAAAACAGACAAATGGAGTGCGGAGAAAACACAACAATAACAACTAAAACGACTTAAACAGCAACAAAAACAACCTACTTGCAAGCAAGCTTTGTGAAAACTGAAAAAGAACTGTGTCTGCGAAATGCCGAAGTTGAAATACCCTTCCTTGCACATATTCTATTAGAAAATTTAACTATATAGTATTCCGATCTAAGTCCAAACTAAACATTGATACAGCTCAGTCCTTGGCCGATTGTCTCCAAAATATTTGTAACAAGATGCTGAACAATACTCTCCAAAATATTAGGTGCAGTCTAAGTAAAGAGTTTTGTTAGGATAAAAAGATTTAAGTGTTTTCTATGGGTGCTATATTATATGAAAGTCCAATAAGATTTTGATCATAAACTTTGTGCGTACATAAAAAGTTAAATATTGTTTAATTGTTTTCAAGCAGATAACATGATTGACAGGCTCAGTTTTCGTATTAAAATTTAAGAAAAACAACAAAAGACCTTTTTTTATACACATGTATTAAAAAAAAAGTTATTGGCCAGTGTTCAGAGCGGTTCAGCATTTGATACTTTATAGCACATTTATTATGCAGTTACATATTTCGTAGCAACATTAGAATACCCCTGCGTAGAGTATGAAAAGGAAAAGATACATTTTTATTTGCTGGCAGTACATAGAGTCGAGTCTTATCAAAACAAGTTTATTGTACGACGCCAGTGTCACGATTACAGTGGCAGCCGCAACAACGTTGCCAGTTGCTAGGTAATTACAGCGGCATTTAAATTGGCAACACCTGGCGCACAACACAATTGGCAACGCGAGTGAGAGCTTGATGCCAATTGCACACGGGCGGCGGACAGCGGGGCGGGGCGGGTAACGGACAAATGAAAACATAAACACATCAAAACGCAGCAGCAACAGCAACAACAGCAACAACAGCATGAACAACAACAAACAGAAATCTCTTTGAGTTTCGTCGCTGCCAGCGAATAAGAAGCCTAAAGAAATGGCAAGAAGAAGAGGACGAAAGCGGCAACAGCAGCGGCAGCGGGCATGCTATAAAAATAAGTAGAAAAATCGCTTTTCCGCCTTTCCGGCACGCCGCTACAGTGGGTGGCTGGAGGTGATTGTTGTTGTTGTTGTTGCTGCTGGGGGGTGTCTGTCTGTGATGCTGCACGCTGTTTCGCGGAAAAAACGGTGAATCAACGCATGGCTACAACAGCAACAACAGCTACAAAGCAACAATAACAACAAAGCGTTGTAAGCGTGCACGTGACGCATCACAGCGCACCGCACCGACCCCCCCGCTTTGCAAAACCTCCGTTACACCGGCTCAGGGGGTGTTGTTGGGCCTTGGCCAAAAGCGAGGGATGCGACAGCCACATACACACACACACACACACACACACACACACACACACACACGCACACAAGCACACGCAATTTTTGAACTGTTTTACTCACCGACGCCGTATTTGTTGTTCGATGGTATCCACATAGCGTATTTATATATTTTTTTTGTTGGTCGCAATCCAATTGGAATATGGCTAAGGCGCAGTTCAAGGCCACTCCCAAAACGCTGCCGTCCTGCCGGTTAGGTCGCCTTTTATTTATTTATTTTTTTTTATGCTTTTTGCGAGCAACTTTCAATGACAATTTGAATTTGCTGAACACATTTTCTTGTGTGCCTTTTGCATCTTCTCAAATACACACACACACACACACACACGCACGCACAACCACAGACACAGTGTTGAACTTTTGCTTTTGTTGTCTTTGGCGTTGTTGTTATTGCATTTGTCGCTCGCTCTCGCTCGCACTTTAACAACGACACTGACACTCGACTTAGTTAATAACACTTACTAGCGACGGCAACAAACGCGTCTACATTGTTGTTGTTGCTGTTGTTGTGGTCGCGGAATTGGCAAATTTCTCAACAAGACCAACAGATAATCTTGGCTCTTATTGGAAGATGAAGTGGTTGCTTTTTGTCGCCTTTTTTCTGATTTTTTTTTGTGCACGCCACAAAAATCAATATTAATTTTTGGTTCGGAGTTTTTTTTCTTGGAATTTGTTCGCCTTTGCCCTAATAAATAATATTCATCGAATGTGCTGACCTGCACTTGCCTCGCCTTTTAATTCAATTTATTGTATTTCGCTTTTTTTTCTTTTCGCACAAATACAATCGCCAACCGAGCTCTCTCTCACAACCGCACTCGCGCAGCTGTCCAATAAGACTAACAGCCAGCTGTTAAAACAAGACAGAATGCCACTGTTGACATAGCTTGGTGACTGTTAGATACCCTTTGCTGTTTAATTGCCAGCTACATATCCGTTTAGCAACAGGTCTGAACTGTTGATTTTATAGATGTCAAGGAATGAATTCGTTCAATATAATATTATTTGCTGATAGACTGACTAATCTGTTCATAATCTCAATCGCAATAAAACAATGATTTTTTTACAGAGTATGAAGATACTTCGATAACATCGCTAACAACTGCTGATGTTACTGTTAAATTACAGACTGGCAAATTAACATAGTGGACTGCTAAAGTTTAAAATTGCTTTTGTGTTACCGAGCGGAAATTACAAGAAACTTAAGCACCGGGCGACACCTGGCGGCAAACTTAAAGTGCTGATGGCTGTAAAAGTTTTTATAGTATAATTTGGGTGGTTGCAATACAGCGCCACCTGGTGATTCGGGTTGTAAGTTGATAGACTTGCTTAGCTGTGAAGTTGGCTGCGCTAATACAGCGAAGAACAGAACCGAACAATGATGGCCCAAGCGTGGACACAAACCCATTACGATTTTTGGGCAAATATTATTTGTATTTGATTAAATTTTAATAAATAAAAGGAATTTTTGAAAAAATTTCAAATATTTAAGTTGATTGTGTAACACGCTTTTTAGTTTTTTTGTTATTTTTTTTGGTAAGCGTCTCTGTCTTTGCCCATTTAAACGGGCAAAGCAAGCAAATGAATGTGCTCGCGGTTTGTTATTCTTTTATATTTGTCTTAACTTTTATTATTGCTCTGTTTGTTCGTTCGCATTTTGTAACTAAGACTAGTTGGCTTAGGCTATGCTTAGCGGCTACAAATATTTAACATTTAACATTTACAAAATCTATTTACAAAACTCACATATTACACATTACAATTAACACTTAAGAGTTACGTTTGCCAAACTGGGCAAAATTCGATATATATATATATATTTATATATATATAAATATAAATATATATTTATATATATATAAATATGTATATATATACATATATTTATGTATCTATTTGTTAGCGGCGCGCATTTTCGAGGTTCTAAAATTAAATGACTTAAACTTATGCTTAAGATCGTAAAAATTGACCCAGTTCTACTTTAGTTATCTAAGATACATTGACAAGCAATCAAGCAAAGTTATCTATATGGTCAGTAGGTGCAACAAAATTAAACCCAGACATATATTTATCTTTCTATTTACACTATATTGCATAACCCCTGGCAGAAAATCAAAATCTATGCTGGCTAAGCATTCGATTTTTTATTCTCTTTCTTTTTTCTTTTATGTTTTTGTTTTTTTTTTTTGGGCATTTTTTGCAGTTCTAGCTAAACACATTTATGGCTCCCCATTTGAATTAAAGTAAAACCTTTGTACCAAAAACGACTTCCAAATTGGCGAGCTGCCCGCCTTGTGAACCAACACCAATTTCTATCGTATTTTACAGCTTTTAGCAAGCGAGCAGCGCTTGGAAGCATTTTTTTCTCTCTATTTTTTGTCGCAATAGTCGCCTAGTGGGCCTTCAATTTGTGCGCCAGGATCTGCTCCTGTTGCTGCTGCTTATCCTGTTGTAGTGCGCTGTTGTTGTTGTTGTTGCCATCAGCTTTCGAGCTTAACGCTCCCGCCGCCAGCTGCTGCTGCTGCTGCTGCTGCTGAGCCTTGGACTTCCGGTAGCTCTGCATATAGAAGTTCATGAAGAGGCAGAAGAATATGGATGCATTCAGCAGCAGAAGCGCCGAGATAAACTTGGAGAACTGGCACTGATTGCTGAAGAGCGCTCGTGTGGTATGCACAATGCAAAGCACAAACTGCGCCTGTAAAGAGGAAGCAAGCAACAATTGTAAATGTGTAATTCAGATTAATAATATAAATAAATATATGGCTAGGAAGAGAATTTCGTGCGAATTGTTTAGAAATTGTCTGGTTTTCAATACTGGGAATATGTTCAAGGGCTGGCATTAAGTTAAGTTGGGGGCGTGGTTAGCAGCGGAACCGACAACGGAAGGAAACAAAAGAAAAAACGTAAAACTATAAAGAAATTAAATGTAAGCCCTGAAGTGTGGCCAGGCGCAGAATATTTTAATTGCCCGCAAATCAAATGGCAAATTACGCGCTCATGGGCCGTAATCACCCTTGAGCGTGGCAAGGTAATCAAAAAGCGTTTACTAGCGCAGCTTCTGTTGTTTGCCTGTTGCCAGGCCAACATACACTTGGAGAAAAGTCAAGAGTTTTGAGAAAATTTTTGTTAGTTATCAGTTATCAGAGAGAATTGGAGTGGAGAATTGGAGAATTCCGTTGAGAAGTTTTTACATTTACAGGCATGCAAGCTGTGTGTTACGATAACACTAGAATTTTTAATGGTGTTTTTCTGTGAGTGTACGAATATGTGCATTATAAACACACAGACTGCAATTTGCCATAATAACTGTAATGTCATATAGGCATGGCTTCTAGTATATAGAGCCCAGTGTATTGCTGCCTGTTTGTCTGGCGCTGACTTTGACTGGTTTGCACGCTTCGCTGTCTGTCTGCGGCTAACAAGTTCGTTGTCTAAGTCTTTTGATTGCTGCTCTCATTGACCTTTTTTGCGACACCCCATAAGTGTGCGCTTTATGCAAGCCATAATTCAGATTGCGATTATCGATATTGTTATGAATATTAATGGTTGGCAATTTATGTATTTTTCAGATTTCAATTTGCTAATGGCCGGGCATCACCTCGCCCAATGCGACTGCACACGCCCACGCTGCGAACGCCCACTTATTTGTTTTTGATTTTTTCTATTATTCTTATTATTTATTTAGTTATTTTGTTTTTGTTACTGTCTTGTTTTCAGCTAGTTGGCAACTTGCGCTTTTTGTGACCTACAAACAACGAGCAACATGTTGGTCAACCAAGCGCTGCAAGTTTCCATTAACACAGCCATGCCAAACGCTGCAAAGTCACTGAGCCAACAACACGATCCACACGAGCAGCCATACACACACACACGCACACACAGTGGACCAAGAGTTGGCTGGCCAAAAAGCCACTCGTTTTTGGCCAAATGCAGTATTGGTCGCATTTGAACGTTGAAAGCAAACGTCAACGCTTAAGCGCTCCATTACACACGCAATTGCAGCCACATGTGTGTGTGTTTCAGTGTGTGTGTGTGTGTCTGTTTGTACAAGTGCATCTGAGTGCACGGTGGATGTAAGTGGTTGCTATTGTGCGCAGAGTTAAGAAGTCAAACATATTACTAGAGCCAACTGATGGCCTCTGTGAAATCGGAAGCAGCTATTAAAAAAAAAACAATGGAAACGCCTTCAATATTGTCGGCCCCAAAGTTTTCCTATAGCTGTGTAGTATTTTCTATAGCTTTCAAGTTTTCATTTGTTAAATTTTCAATTTTGAATTTAGCTCTGTAGTTTAAGAGCTTAACATAAGTATTATTAAACTTAATTAAATCTGCAAGTGCTTGACATCATTTGCAGTTATGGACAAAGGCTGTCACATAGTCGATGCATTTTGTTTTAGCATCTAATATACCCTATATTCATTTTATTAAAGAACGAATAATAATAACATTAATTGTATTATTATTTTATATTAGCATTATTATTAGTATAATTATTATTACTATGAATATGTATATGAATATAGGATATATTTATGAGTTATTTTCCGAACTGCTGGATTTGAACCAGTAACCTTCTTGATCAGTTCCCTAAGCACTTAGAGAAGATATACTTTTTTGAGTTAGAGTGTGAATTCAGGTTCTTTGATGCATATAGAAAAAGTCAAGTACCTTGATATGCCATATTTGGAGGAATCTACAGAGATGGCTAGCCCGACTAGCAAATACCCCGGATCAGGCAATTAGAAGTGGCGTGTGTATCCAGAAGTGCCACTTGCACAACTGCAGCATACCCCGTCTTATCCATTTTTAATGGTTGTGTATTATGCGAATTCTTGCATAATTTGCAGAGGTGTGTTTTACTAATGATATAGCCAGGCTATGATTATGGAACTGATCTGATATGTTTTTGGGCAACGTGTAAGAATTGTTGCGAATGCAATTTGGTGCATTGGCCAAGAAATGAATTTAAGTATTAAAACAATTGTTTAACAGATGCAGATTTGAATACCACTGTGGCAGCTGCGACGACGACGACGACGACGACGCCGGCGCCATCTGCACAATTGGTTGCGCAATCGAGAGGTCTAGTGTGGGGCAGTAGTGTGGTAGACGTTGCCGGCAGTTGGAAAATATGCAGTTGCACTTGTAATGTGAACGAGTGTTGGGATTAGCAAACGGGCAAAACAGGCGCCTGGAAACCGAAAGCGGCAATTTGCCGGTCAACTTTTACCCATAAATACACACAGACACACACACACACACACACACATGGATGGAGTGGCTGTGGCTATGGCTCACTGGCGCTGGCTGTCGTCGACATAGACACTCAACACTCATAGACAACATAGACAACAAGTTCGCTGCGGCGGCGCATAAAAGTGAACGCGACGAACGAGCGCGAGCACGAGGCACATTCATTGCCGCAAAACGGAACAACGGCTAAAACAGCAAATGGCGAATGCCAAGCCAAAGATAATGTAATCGAAACTGGTCGGATCGGAGCGCGCGAAAATGTGGCAATTTGTGGAATTGGCGCAGCAACCAAAATGCAAGGATGTTGCAACAAAAGCGGGCAACAGCAGGCGCTGTGGCAGCCGCAGCCGAAGCGGCAGCGGCAGTGACCAGCATTGGCTAATTGGAACTTAAACTTGTTCGTCTCTTGCCAAATTAGACTGTGTGTTTGTGCTATTCATAATATTGTTGATATTGTTGCGGCTGCTTTTGTGTCTAATAACAACAAGAAGAGCTGCTGCTGCTGCTGCTGCTGCAACAACAGAGAGCTGCGGCAGCTAAATTATGCGCCTGATGCGCCCATGTTTATCTGCTTATGCATATTGCATTTGATTGCCGTGTCATTAAACAAAAAAAAATGTCAACTGCGCTCAAAGAATCAAGTGAAGTTTATACATGAGGCGTACATCTATATGTATCTAGACGAGCATATATAGCCGCGCGTCTAATGTGCATTTTGCATGCATATACATTAGAGTTGGGAGCGTGACACGAGTCAACACGAGAAGAGACTAATATCGTTTTGGAGAAGGAGGAAAACAGAATGGAATTATTTTGAAAAAAATGTAAAGCAAATATAAAGCAATGCTTTTTTTAAGATAGTGAAAATAAAACAGAAAAAAATTCAAATATACTTATACATTTTTAAATATTAATATATTCGAGGAGTCTGTGATCGTGAATTTTGCATGCATATTTCCGAATTATGTTGCGTGTCGTGTTCTCAAGATCAGAGACGAGCCGATCTTCAATGACTACGAGACGCGTACAAAGTGACCGAACGTTTGACAACTCAACTGTGTAGCCCAGTGAGCCCCAAGGCAAGACACACACAGACAATACTTAGAAGCAGGCCAGCGACAATAATAACAACAACTTACAAATAACAACAGTAGCAGAACTAACTAAACTCGACAAGTTTTATGCGTTTCAAGAATTTCGCAACATTGAAATACTGCAATGAAAACGTATTTACCGACGAATACATACCATGTGTGTGCACACACACATACACACACACATTGGAAGACTGCATGGAAAATCAGTGGAGTGGCGCAAATGCCATCGCCACTGAGAAAACGGAAAGACAAGCAGCCAATTGAAATCTAAAACTAAAGCTGAAAGTAAAATCGAGCTTTAATTAACAACAACAACACCAACAACAACGAAAACGAAAACAAAAACCCACTTGACGGGTCAGCATAGTTAGATATTTTGGTTAGTTATTACATTAAAACATTAACTAGTTGTCGTGTCCAATAAACAGGTCGTAGAACACAGTTCGTGGGGCGTTTTGAGGCCAGCTAAGAAAGTGACAAGCGGCGCAATGAACCCCAAGTGCTTAAAGCCGATGTCCATAACGGACACAAATTATGTAAGCCGCAAAAAAACAAAAAAAAACAAAAGACAAACTGAAAATCTGCCAACTTGGCCTTTGGCTGAAGCGTTGACTGAGTCGCTGGCTGTCTGCCTGTCTGACTGTGTGTGCGTGTGTGTGTGTTAAACACAAACCACTTCCACTTGCAGCTGAGTGTGACTTGGCCTGGCCAGTTGCAAGACACAGTTAGAAGCATTAAGTAACATGTTTCTTTTTTTTGGTTTTTGGGGTTTTTGGCAATAGGTATATCCAGCACGTTTAATACCATTTTATGTGACGGCGGTCAGGTCTAACAGGTTTGCCAATGGGCTCTGCCGGAGCCTTAGTTAACTATATACATATATATAATATATATATTTCGACCAAGACAAACTTCTAAACAAGTTTCTATGTAGATTCGCGTGGCAGCTAGCCAACTATATGGTATGCTGGAACAGATTTTATTCTGGTAATGATGACTTGGCGACACTTACGATCTGCAGCTCCGTCATGTATTTCTTCCACCACAAAAATTTGGCATACTCCGGTCCCATGGCGGACATCATGTAGTAGAAGTACATGCACACATGCACAAAGTTGTTCAGCAGATTGGGGAATGTCGCATTGCCGCCTATGTAAATCAAATTGAAACTAAGTCAAGTCTGTACGGAATTTATTTATTATTATTTATCTTAACGCACCTGCCAGGAACTTGACCAGCACCCAGGTCTCCAGCGGCGTCACCGAATGATGATAGACATGCAGCCAGGTGATTTGCGATGATTTCTTGCGCAGCACAAAGAACACGGTGTCGGCGAACTCTGTTAGCTTGGATAGATAATAAATGTAGCACAGATTCAGCATCTATAAAGAAAGAGAGAGTGAGAGAGTGAGAAAGGCAGAGAGCTGGGCGTTAGCTGGCGGCAAGGTCGTATTGGTCAGCGATTCTTGAAGCGTGGCCAAACTTGTTGATGACATTGGCAAACAATTTCCATTTCAAGCATTTCGCTGCGTTGTCACATTTTGTGCGGGCCACACGGCGTATGCGCAATGTAAACAAGCTTTACGATAGGTGTCAACAGCGCCGCAGCTGAAAATTTATGGCAACCAGCACTTGACCTTCAGTTTATGGACTGTTTTCTTTGTCATGATTTTTCCCTGGCGGATGTGAAATATATCAGAGTGTGGAGGATTATGCTCTTCGAGCAGCGGATCTTTGGGTTTGTGTTAATATGCGCCTGCTTTATGGCCAATATCGAATTTTATGAGTTTCGCAGCTCATTGATTTGCGGCTCAAACAAGAGGCCAAACTGGGCCTAAAGTGTTTGATTATATTTTTGACAAATGTGGTTTACTTCGACTGCTAAGCACCATAAAAATGCACAACCTTGGTTTCCAACAGCTATGTAAATTTATGTGCTTTTTTTGTTTTTTTCTCCGATTTTGTTTGGGTTGTTGCACTTTTTAGTTCAGCCTAACTTCGCCATTTAGGTTTTAAGCCTTACAAAATTGGTGCCAAATTATGCATTTAAGCTTTAAATGCTTATTAACCAATTATTTATTTAAATGCTTTTACGCCACACAAATTGAATAGCTTGAGAGCTTTCTGTGCAAACAATAAGATCGACAGGCGTAACAAATTGCGCGTTGATTAGCAAGAACCAAAACGCACATTCAATTTGGCCCTACTCGACTTTGGCAGCTGCTTTGTGGCAGCGCCAGAAGCCATAATTAAGCTAATGTTGGCAACAAAAATATGAACAAAAAAAAAAAAACAACTGACCAAATGACTGGCCAAAAATCGCTTTTTGTACTGTCTGTGCCTGAACTTGAAAACGAACGTGGCCAATGATTCATCCAGAGGCAACGAACTGCTGCGCAGACAGCAAAGATATAACAAGTAAAAGTGCTCGAGTCGGCAGTGCACGACCAGCAGATACCCTGCAAACAGCGTTAAGCGAACTTTGTCTAGCCATTGTGCTTCTTCTTCTTCTTTCAGACAGACACGATTTCTAAGAAATGCAGTCTTGCCTAACCTCGGTGCTTCGATCTTTATGAAACTCGCATGGATTAAATATGCCAACCAAATGTGCGTATATAACAAAGCGCAAGGATCTGCTTTAAGAAATGAGCTTTCCTCTTTTTGAGGGCAAAGCTATCTAAACAATTACATATTTTATTTAAGAAACTGTACACCAAAATTTGTGAAGCTAGAGCTCTAGCTCTAATAATTTTGAGGTGATATGCTTCGAAAGCCATATTATGAAAATGGAAAGAGATTAACAAGATTTGCGTACGGCATAGAAGAATTTTCATTACAAGTAACAGGCTTTCGCTTTTGTTGTATCTGAGATCGCCACATTCTCTGAAAAGGCGTCCTGCTCAAGAATATATATATATATTTTATGGGATCAAAGATAACTTTGCTTCTGCCTGTTTTAAACTTAGTTAATGGGTTCGGGGTAGCAAATGTTAAGCTAATAAGAGTGAGCGCACCTATTAATTTTTATAGGTAGCACAGAATTAGACGCGTGTGCTAATAAAAATCGAAAATTTCGCGTGTATGCAGTCTCTTGAAACCTACCCGCTTAGACATGGGCCCATCCGAATAGTCAACCGGTTGGCACTTCAGATTGTAGTAGTTCAGCCAGCCTGCCATTAAATGCTGTAGAATAAAAGAAACCCGTTAATAAAGTTGTTAAAAACAAAAGTCACTTCCTAGTGCAATCAAAAGCTTACCTCATAGAACATGTAGCCGCTGAGCAGCACCTGGAAGGCATTGTAAACGACAAGTGTGCGGCGCAGCTGGAAGGGTTTGCGGTCTCGCATAAAGAAAGGACCCAACACCAGCACCCAGGATAAATAGATGGCGACCAGGCCGAATGTGAAGAGCGGATGCTCCATAAGGGGAAAGCGTACAGCACGCGGATCTGTCAAGTCACAATAAAATGATATATAACATATATTACATATTAATTATAAATTTAAATCATCTTTCTCTCTCGTTCTCGCTTCTGATCTCTCAGTCTTTCAACTTATGCAAATGCTGACGTATTCCGTGTGTTATTGTAGAGTCAATGGCATTTAATTATTTGCACTCAACGTTTATAAATCTGTAGAATTAATCTTAAAGCCAGTAGCCAATTTGCACGAATGAATGAAATCGTGGCCAGCTACAATAAAACCTAAACAAAATGCCGGTTCTGATTGTTTGTTTGTTTCTATTGACTATTCACTACGGCTCGGGGTGTAATGCGAGCGGCTCAAGTGGACAATTAACTTGTTTACACTTAGGGTTTTATTTGAATACAGCCGCAACAACAGCAACAAGAACCAAGAAGTACATTAGTTTAAACCGGACTTGCAGGTAACACTTTAATGGAACCGTACTGGACTCTAAATTGGCTTAGTTAATACGACTAGGCGGCAATGTCGTCATTGATTGTTATGAACAATGAATCTTGAGTGAACCCCATTTACAAATCTGTTATTGATTTTTCCATCAATTTTCCGTCATAAATAAATAATTTTCCTGAATAAATTCCTCAAGCTAATCACAAATATTTCGATTAGAAATTTTCCACTGCAAGGCCTTTCCGCAGGCATTGATTGCACATGGACTTGGAATCCAAAGGTTTTTAATTTATTGTCAACAATTTGTTAACTCAAATTTCTAGAACTTTGAAGAGCCTGCACTGTTTCTTTTTGCAATAGTTGCTCTGCAAATTAATTAGCAACATTTTTGTGTACAAATTTGCATAGCATAAAGTTTTAACGAGCTGGACACCTTATTTAACATAATGTGGAGCTCAGTAAAAACTAAATATTTAATTTGTGTTTGTCAAAAAATTTGCATTTCTTGAAAATTAGAAGAGTTATGTGCTATGTTCCTCTGTTCCTCTGTTAATGTTATGCAATCTATTATTAAGCTCTAAAAACCATTTTGAATACAAATTATAAACTAATGAAAAGTTATATACCCTGTCTGGATTTCTGATTTATTAATTAGTTTGTGCCTATATATTCTTACTATAACAATAATCAAATCACGTCTGACTAGGTCTATCTTAATCAAAGACACACGTGTCTGTATATATATATATAGCACAAACATTAAAATCCAAATTATCTATAGACGATAGATAGATCTATATCCTAAACGAAGTCACACATGTGTTTGTTTATATATAGCACTATCTATATCGATATATATATCATTAACATCTAAAGCCAAATCACGTCTAAGTAGATATATTTCTTAATTAAAATGAACATGTATCTGTATGTATATAGCACTATCAATATCTATATTGATATCTATTTCTATATCACTTTCGATATCTATATCTCCTTCATCTTTCTCAATATCCTTCCAATTCTCAATATCTCAATTAAACATAGATACCTTTATCTTTATATGTCTATATATACATAACTTTATATATATATCTTTGTCAATATCAATATCTGTAACTACATCTATATATATCTCAGTATCCAAATACTTTTGAACATCTATCTTCGAATTTAAATATCTATATCTCCATTTACACTTGCATCTATATCTATATCTATCTCTATTTATATATAAATTTATATGTATGCATATTTATCTACTGCTTCTTATGCTTGTGTCCTAGATTTTTTTGCCATCTTAGCTATTGCAAAACATTTCCTATTGTCGTCCATGTCAAGTTTGTGTTCTAAGTCTTTTGTTTTTAAAAAATTTTCTTTTCCTCAATTCTCTGTTTATTGCGGACTTTTCGAGCATTTGGCATTCGCATTTATTGCTTATATGTATATTATGTCGTTTGGCATGGCTCACGCTGTCGGCTTTGCTTTTAATTGCTACTACCTTCCATTGACCTTTTCACCCGCGCGCGGCAGTCAAGAATGTCAATATGCTATGTGTGCGATTGTGTGTCTGTGTGTGGTGTATAATTAAACACGTTTTAAAAAGAAAACGAAAAACCAACCAAAAATATAGAAAAAAAAATGGTATACGACTAAATAAATCGTATTGTAAGCACATATGGCATATGCATCATCTTCAGCAAATGTTATTGTTATTATTGTTGTACGGATGCGTATGTATACATATTGTATGTACTGTACATGCTCAGCTGCACACAACAAATGACGACGGTCGCGTCATAAAAAATGTTTAAGTTCAACTATGTAAATACATTTTAATTACGTTAATAATTGTCAAAAATACAATTGGCATTGCCAAGGTCGCCATTAAATACACAAAAGAAACCTTTTTTAATTGTCCTAGAAGTATTTTTTGTTGTTCATTTTTGGTTTCTTTTAGGTTTTTTTGAAGTTTGTTATTGTCGCTTCGTGTTGTTGTTGTTGTTGCAGATTTGTGGCTTGCCAATTTTTGTGTTGTTACGATTTGCTTGTACGCAAAAGAAAAAAAAAAAATCATTTAAAATTTGGCAACTCATCGTGTTGTATGCTTTTTGGAGTCTTCGCTTAGCTGTGATCTTACAGCGTAAGCTGCCAATTGAGACAGTGCACCAGATGGGCTAACATTTAAGATTTCCACTTCCCGGAGTGTTCGACAAACACTTTGATGGCTTAGCAATGACATCAGACATACCCAGTTGTGCATGTGCTGAACTTTATGAGGGACTTTTTTTTTGTTGTTTTTTATTTTGTTTCATTATTAGCCCACATTTGATATGGCCAAGGGGCGCTACTAACTGCAATTTGCATTTAAGCATTTTAGCATTTTAGCATTTTACACCTACCGCCGTAATCCTCCTCGACGAGCTGGTAGTAGCGCTGCACCAGCCCCGTGTAGTTGCGGGTCAGATGATGTGTTTTAAACTCATCTAATGCAATGTTGGCTATCTCAACGACCATCTCGTAGCGTGTGCTGCTGTTGTAGTTGTGGTATTGCATAGCCATTTTGTTGGACTGTATATAAACTCTATATACGATAAGTTATTCCTATATATATTTATATATATATATTTATATATCCTGTATCCTATTTGAGTGTTGCTCGCTTAACAGGCCTCTTAGTCAATGTCAGCTGGTAAGAGCAAACGACATGCTGCCACGTTAGTTAGTTTTGAAGATTTCGTTTATTTTTGGCCAAACGGGCACAAATTCACAGCACTTCTTATTGTTTTTTGATAGAATCTGATTTGATTTGTAAGTCTCGTTATTAGCACGCGTTGCTTAGCATTTGCTGATTTTAGTTAGCCACCAATTTGAACCACCGCACCGTAGAAATGTTTATGCTCAACTGAATCTAAAACTTCTCAGCAATCACAAGATAAAGTAAGTTTTTAGCAGCAGCGCCGGCAGCGACGCCAACGCAGGCAGCGCTGTGCAAGTAGGCACGGGTATGTACCCCAGTCTACACACGCACACACACACACACAAACCCTCAATAATACACACATTCGTAGATTGGCTCGCCTGGCCTAAGCTCAAAAACTTGACGAACGTTGTTAACATCCACACAGAACGGCGGAAGTTTCGTTAAATTCGACGCTTGCGTGTGTGTGTTAGTTTGTGTGTGTATGTGTAGATGTTTGCGGCTCTAAGCGCTGCTTATTTCGTGACTGTGTGTGTGTGTGTTTGTGTGTGCAGCTTGGCTTGGCCCACTGAGCGTCGCTCTGGTGTTAGCTGATTTAGCAAGTTCCGAATGGCATTCAACTTTGCATATGTTGTTGTTGTTGTTGCTTATGTTGTTGTTCTTGTTGTTGTTGTTGTTGTTGTGCTCATGAGCGGACAGATTGCAATTTTTATGGGTCAATGCACTGCAAAACGGGGGATGGTCTTAATAAACTAGTTTGGATCAATGTGAGACTTTAAAACCTAAAAACCTTAGCTTAAATACAGTATGTTAATTGAAACTGTTGAATACAAACTTATTTAAATTTAACTCAATATTTATGTATACTCAATATCAATTTATTATACAATTTAATGGTAAAGAAAAATATTGTTGACAATATTTATATTAATAATAATAAGCATAGAGATTGTTTCACTAAAATAGTATTTTGAATAAAAGAAAAACGGGTCAAATGCGTTTGGCTTAATTACATTTAAGTCAAACTTGTTGCTTGCCTGAATTGAGTTTTGCACTAAAAAACATTAATTATTGTCACTCACAAAACTGGTTAAATGCATATTTATTTTCTTTCAACTCTATGCTGGGCTGCTCGCATATGCATATGCATGTGTCCAGGCAATAGTTGTGTAGTTTGTTTCATTTACTCATAAAACAATCTAATTAATTACTTATTAGCTATTCAAAGACTGTGCATAAAATGTCTTGAGTTTTAAGTGCAACATTCCTAAAGGGGTTTTGCGTTGCTAGTTAATATACATTTTCAGAATTTTATGCTCTTAAGGCTTCCCGAAGATTAAAAAGTATTCAGATATAAAACGGGTTCACATTAGATACAAACACACATGCACACGGTTAAGAAACTATGGAACAAAAGTCAGCTATTTATATATATATATAGTATTAAAATAATAAAAAAAGGTTTTTGTGCTAAACATTAAATTTGATAGTTAGTGCAATAATTATTTTCATATGACAGTGGGAAATATGAGCATAAATATCATTTAATAAGCAACAAATGTCTTAGACTTTCAAATGTGTTAAATGGTTGTCAAAATATGCCTGCCCTAAGTTAAGTCTAATGCCAAGCATTATGCCAAAATTATCAACTCTTATGCCAGACTGTAAAGAAAAAAAAAAAAAAAAATAGTGAAACCAAAACAAGAATTTGGTATAATATAAGCCATACGCCGACTGTTGCTGTTGTTAGCTCAAGTCTAATTTTAAATTCTGGTTGCCCATTCATATATATTTAGACTTTCGATGTTTCCAAGCCAGTTTTTTATGCACACCCTTGGCGTAAATCATTTGAATATGTGATCAACAAATAAAAGTGGCATCCAGAAGCGTCTCGTTATCGATCAACATGCGTTAAGATCTATAAATTTTTCAGGTTGGACTCTGAACCAAAATTTTACGTGTGACCAAGAACGTAAGACCCTTCATCTATAACAAAATGTATGTGGGTATTTGTGGCTCGTGGCAGGGCGCGGACGTGCATGGACGAGGTCGCAATCGGTTGTCATTTTGTGTAAACAAAATAAAATCTTAATTATGCCATTGAGATGTGCGCGTGCAACAACAATTGACTGACTGCTCTGTTAAGACAATTACAAAATGATTCTCATTTGACAAATTAACATTGTCCAAAATGGTTCTTTAAAGTGCGCTTGACCCTCTGGCACTTGATTATTTTGGCCATGTTGGCAAATCCACAGCGAACTGTGCCTCAATGGCAGCAGGATGACATTGCAGTCGACGCTGTTGCTAACGGTTATCATAATGAGCACGATTTAGTCTAAGGCTTGATCAATTCTGCGCAGCTTGAGTTTCGTTTCATTTGGCATGAGCCGGACTTATAGCCGGTATGTGTGTGTCTATTTTTTTTTTATTTTGCTTTCACGGTCTAGGTCTAGGTCTTGGTTAGATGCCGGCTGTCGGAAGTCGCTGAAAAGTCGACAAAAAAACAGCTGACCAACATCGATGATAAATATACGCGGTGAAACAATCTAGCTACCGCCGTCTCATAGCTCCACTTAGCCCATGGCAAAACGCTTTTGACTCATAACTAATAATGATTTGTGTATTAAAATGTTTATGCATATATTAAATTTTGTTGCAGATGCGCGTCTTTGATTAATAGCCAAGGTGATGCAGTTTGTCAGCACTGCAAACTGTTTGAAACATTTCAATTTCACATCTAGCCAAATTTCATATACATATCCCTATACAAAGCTTAGAGTCTTTCTAAAAGTCATGCTCCAAAAGTGCAGCGTCATTAGCCGGCTAATAACTTGCTGGATTGAAGCAGACTAAAGAAAAGAGAAACAATAACAAAAGCATGTTGCTCAACAGCAATAAAAAATAAGGTAATCAATGCAATAATTTTAATTAGCAACCTCACATGAAATCAATATATTTCTAATTAAATTAGCACAACGTGCCGGGGGCGTGGGCTATCCAACTTGACCGCTAACCCCTGGTGCTTTTTTTCATTGATAAACGGAAACTTTTCGAAAGGCCCTCTGGCTGCTGACTGGCAATTTAATAAGCAACTATTAATCGAATCAACAGATATATATATATGTATATGCTATTATTCAGTGATTTGCAATTAAACAACTAGATTCAGTTTGTTAACAATGTTACACGACTTTATTGCCAGCGTCAGAGAAACAGTTAGGATATTCAATTGGATTTTCGTTTGGCTTGTGCGTTAAATGTCGATAAATGTAAATTTATCTTCGAGTTCGTATTAGCCAAAAGAGTCCGCTGCTTAACCGCTTTATTGTGACCTTGAAAATGTTTATCGGCTCACAAATTATGGCCCATTCTGTGCATATCGAATAATATTGTTTTGATAGGTATCAGACATGCTTCATAATCCCTTTTAATCCTACATATTACAATTAATTTTAATATTCTGATAAGCAGTATTAGTTTTATAATTGTCATTGCTTACATTACTATTATTATTATTATTAAAATAGTTTTTATTAATATTATTTATTATTTTTATTATTATTATTAAAATTAATATTAATAAATTCATATTTTTTATTATTATTATTATTATTTCTATTATGATTATTGTGTATTTTATTATTATATGTAATATATAATTTTCCATACATGCTATAGCTTAAATATCTTATATTGGCCAGATTCTAGCCTAGAATTTGAACCCGGATCTTGTTATTAATAATATATGTACATATATAATTTATACTATACGTAACTAAGAATTAGCTATTATTTAATACATCATATCATATCATAATAAATCTTGTTTGTGCTGTCGCGTATCCATTTCTCAATCAATTATAATACTCTTTGCGAGTTAAGCTAAACAGTGCAAAATAGTTGCGAACAACAAGGTAAATAAACAAAATGCTACAAGATTTTTTTTAAATTTGATTATCACAGCTTTTGCGTCTTGTGTGGATTTTGTGAAAGTTATGCCTGGTTTAGTTGGAAAGGATTTGTTTCAAAATAGATTCTAATGCAAAGGCTGATCATTACATATCATGTTTAATGTATTAGTTACATAGTTACATGTGAAACTAGATATACATATATGTATATGTTTTGTATAGGGAATCTAAAAGTCGTGAGCGCTCAACGTTGTTTGTTCTCGTTTGTTTTCATATAATGGCAAGCACACAAACATTTTGGTACTAATTGATAGCACAAGCTGAGAAGTTAGTTCGGCAATACCCAATGCAAACGGCGTGGACCAAAGAATCAGTAGTAGTAGAGACATTAGGAAAGGCCATAGCACACATGGTATTCACAATCCCCGAACCATAGATCCATTGATGGCCGCCCAGCTCCCGACACTCACTAATTTGCCCAAAAGTGCCGTGTGGCCATGTGGCAAGCCCGGCTGCTAATCAGTTGACCAAATATATATACTTATATGCGTTGCTTACAAATGCCACTGAGTCTGAATGAACGTCATATTTATGCATGTACCCATCATCGTTCACTTTGAGGCCAGTCAAAGTACATGAATCGCGTCATGACGGAGCAACAACCGCACAAGCTGTGAGTATGGCTAGTGTTAAGCGAGCGCAAGAAAAGCAAGCAAAAGTGATCTAGTGGAAGTGACCGACTGGGAGATACCCTGAACACAGCTTCCTTCTATACATAACTCCATCTTCTCGCAGCCACACATTACAGAAAGTGCAGCTTTGACTTTTACAGTCCGATCTTGACAATTTCGAATATATCAGAAATTTGTCAAACTTGCTCTGCACATGTTATACTATTATCTGGGTCTCCAAGATCAGCGCGTGCAGCCAGAAGGAGGGACATGCAGACATGGCTAGAACCTTTTCATACTGATCAAGAATATATAAAGTTCATGGGGCTGCTTGCGATTGCCTGTTACATACACTACCCTGCAGACATTATACCCATTTTCAACAGGTTCAGGGTATTCAAACATATATAAAGTCTCTACGACTTTGGAGTTGAAGTGAAGACAAAAACATAAACGCCGTTTAACGTGTAATTAGCACAAGTAAAGCCGCAAACTGGAAATGTTCTTGGCAACATTTAACCCCCGACTTTGAACTTGAACAGCGTTTATTTTATTTTTTGATTCTGACTTAATATATGCTCGAAATAATAGCTCAGCGCAAGCGAGTCCAAGAATAGTTCGTCAGACGCGCCGTCTTTGGCCAAACAAAATTTCAGCTTGAACTTGACATAGTTGGGTTCTTGCGTTTCTTCATTAAATCGCAAACTGCTCACCTCAAATTGGCCAACTAGAATTTAAAAAACATAAAACTATAAATTAATCAACTAAAATGCAAAACGTTTGCATAATGCTATACATTTAGCGCAATATGTAAAATCGTCTAACTGTAAGTAGGTTTATCGGCTTTTTCGCAGTTGCTTGCGATCAGGAAACGGAAGTATCTAAATGATTTTTTTTAATTTCTGTTAACTAATCTTTTTTCAATGCGTTAAACGAGTTTATGACAAGGGCACGCAGCCTCAACGGTATTTCGCTGATTTCGATTAGCCGCAAAAGCGTTGAGGCTACATTTGCCATCTCGAGCGATCCACAACACCAGACGCTAAATTATTAAACGGCGTGATATAATTTGATAGATTCAGACGGTATTTCCGTGCTTTAAAACAAGTTTAATTTGCGCCACAGTACACATCATAAAACTGGACTAATATGAAATAAGACTAGAACTGTTTCGCAGTGCAATGACTTTTTACAAACACATTCTCAGGTGTTCTTGATAATAGGCAAGGGCTTAAAATAACATTTACATGTATTTTAAATATATTTACTCCCAAATTTGATAACGGGAGATAAACGAGAAGATAATATTAAACGGTTTATTGATTTAGAGATCAAACCATGACCAAAGTGGTATCGCACATTAAAATAGGTGTAGTTTAAACAAAGTTATGGGACTTCAAAGACTGGGCCTGGCAGAAATTATGGACATGCGAGTGAGCGAGAGAGAAAGAGAGAGAGAGAGCAAGAGAGAAAGTCAAATAGATAGAACAAAATCAGATATAGGAAGAGGTCGATGGAGAGAGAGAGAGAGAGAGTGACAGAGAGAGAGAGGTAGAGAGAGCGAAAGAGAGAGACGGTAGAGAAAGAAGGAGGGAAATAAAGAGACAGTCCAAATTTTTATCCTTGACTTTTCACAAACCCATACTATTTCGAATTTATTTCTTGAAGATTACATTGATACTTATTTTGATGTTACGAGAACAACATTTAAATAAGTTTAAAATTAAATTCTTAAAAACATTATATCATGGATATAAACATAACTTTTTTTCCAAAAAGGTACACATATGTATTTAAATTTAGAAACAATCTACAGTTACACGTTGACAAAGTCTTGGATTTGGTGAAGAAAGTAAAAGGATTTTCTTTTGTCATTTTCCACATGATTTTGTCAGAGAAATAAATTAAATTAATGATAGAGTACCAAATTAAATTTATATTTGAGAAATCGTTTTGTGCGAAGTTGAAGTTCAAAAACAAACATTTTATATTAAGAACATTTTTTTAGAACAAAAGATACATTTGACAAAATGTTCAATATATTTTTCAATTTATTATCCAATATGCAGAGATGTAAAGATGCAGATAATTAATTTGCCAATAAAAATATTTTAGTACTTTGAAAATTGGATTACTTTGGACCCTATTAGTTATGATTGAAATCTATGATTAATTAATTGGCATTTTATCTTTTTATTGCAGATTATTATTGCAACAGTGCCGACATGTGAAGAATAATATTATTAGTAGACTTTAAGGCGTCGAAAACAGTTTCAAAGCTTTAGCATGAACAGCGAAAAAATCAAAGCCAAGCTTAACTTTGAAAAAATATCTGGTCACATCTGTGGAAGCTCAAAGCCAAGCTAAAAGCAAGGAACTGTAGATGGCGCTAACAATGCTGCAAAGGAGCTGAAAATGCGCAAGCAGCAATTAAACGATACATTAAGCATTTTATTACAACAACTTGTCATTTACGGCTTGTAATAAACATATTAATGCTGTATTTAAGTAATTAATATAATAAAAGCCTTATTAATTAAAAGTGGCATTTGTAAAGCGGCTTGGGGAGTTGCATTTTATCAGTTTTTGACAAATATGACAATCTATCACAAGCTGTGGGCAGAATAAGTGTGTGAGGCGAAATTAACTAATAAATAATTTACAATTACTCGGAACTTGATACTGTCAAATTGGAAATTGGCAGCAAAACAAAGAGTCAAAGAAATGTGTACATTAAATTGCGCGTCTTTTTATTTTGTTGTTTTTAAAGAATCGCAATTAATAATTAAAAATCAATAATAATTGTTAACGGTTTTTTGTTGACGATATTTATATGTAAATAGTTGCGGAAGAAATTAGCATAATCTGCAAGTGGTCCGTGTCTTGCGGCGCTCGACTCACAGCTCGTGGCAGTCGTCTCCTCAGCGAGGTGGAAACATCTGCAGCAAGATAATAAACCAAATCAACAAACTTTTGCATATGATTACATTGTGTGTTTGTGTGTCCGAATGATCGGAGATTGTGAGAGACACGGCAAACAAAAGCAAATGACAAATCAGGTTGAATGCTGCTGCGGCCGGAAGACTGCGCGCTACGCTGCGTATGAGTAATGTCTTACATTTGACTAAGGATTAGCTATTGATAGGTGACGAACAGCTGTTATCATTCACAGCAGTAGGCATGCTGTCTAAGCCGGCTAATAGTAAAATTGGCAATCTTGGCCCACAGCAGCTGGTACCAGTCGAAGCCAAACTGGACGAGTTTTGCAGGCCATAAAAAGAAAAAACGATAAAAATCTGCCGTTGGTCCGGCAGGGTCAAGTTCAATTTGCCGGTGACACAGTTAACCAAATTTAAACTTCAAGTGACCCCAGCCCCAGCTAGGTATCAGCAAATATTGGCCATTAATTCATATTGATACGAAGTTTGCCTCAAACTTGACCCGGAAGTGACATTGGCGCGTAATGGCGATCGACGTGTGGCTCGTGTGCTGTGCTCAAGAATTGCGCCCTGGGCTTTAAGAATTCATATGTAAATTATCAAAATGATATAATAATTTTTCGACTGGTTTTAGTTTTTGTCTCACCCGGTCAGGTGTCTCCTTGAATAGAGCCGCAATCAACGGAACTCAATGGCCAGCCAAATCTTGACCTTGAGCGCATGAAGATATGTTTTTCAACTTTTTTATTGTGCTCTATTTCCTCTCCCTGTTCATAAATACAATCTGATATTACAACATGTTTAAACACGTTGAATACTCAGCACTTGCTCGGCTCTAGTCAGAGGTCAATGCGTGTAATACTTTTGAGCCTAAAGCAAGAAAGTGTTTAAAGCTAAAATATGGAACAAGGTTTGGGTATGCCAAATAACAGATGTACCTAAAGCTTAATGCGTGAATATATTTATATAAAGTATGCATATAAATTATATAGAATATGTTTCCGAGTTCTTGCATGCTCTCTTTCGGCCAATACCATATTTTTTAGCCAATAACAACAATTATGGTAAGCATTAATTATTATACAAATGCTGCAAACGTATGCGCCAAAATCAATTAAAATTCAGTCAACAACTATTTGAAATAACCGGCAAACCTGACAACACTCTAGAGCCAGCAGTAAACTAAATGCCAGCTGAGCTGTTGCCAAAAGGCTGTTGTCATTATGCGATCAATAGAAACAAAAAAAAAAACAAGACCAGACAACGCAATGAAACGCAGCTTCCAAGCAAATGAGGCAACACAAAAGAACCTTTAAGCAGCAGATGAGACAACTAACAGCAGCAGCAGCAGCATCAACAGCAGCAACAACAACAACAACAATTGCCAGCAGCAGCAGCAGCAGCTAGCCAAGAAGAAACCACCACCACTAAGCCAACAACAACAACTAGTTGGTTAGCGGGAGGGGGCAAGGGCCAGTTTCGAAAACAAAATTCAAAAGCTATAGACGAAATTTTTATACATAGCAGCACACAAATCGGCGTAGCAGTTCAGTACGCGTACAAGTCTCGTGGGTAGCGGATGCCAGCAGAGGTCTCTCTCCCTTAATATACCAATAATTATACAAAATAACTAAAACTAAAAAAAAAAAAAAAACAAAAAAAGAAGAAAAAACAGTTGTCATGGTGTTAGCATTAAGAGCAGTCACTGTTGTTGTTGTTGCTGTTGTTGTGGTTGTTGCTGCTGCTGCTGCTGCTGTAAATTAAGTGTAAATCTTGGAGAAGGCAACTGTCAACTGCGACGATTGCGACAGGTGCTTGTGCTCCGATTTGTCAGTGCTTAAATATATATAAAGAAGATTTTAAGATTTTTAGAACTCGTGTGGAACTGCAGTGCATGCGTTTATCAAGTAGCCGCAGCGGGGCACCACTGGGAGCTGGGCGCTTTTTAGAGTTGCGCGCTTACCTAATTATTATGTAAATCATATGCAAAAATTTAACGGCACACGCGTGTCAAAAGGTTGTCACCAAGGTCATTCAACTTTTAGTTGACCCCCACCCCCCAACACAGCTCTCACTAATTAAGCCACAAATATGACGCATGGTTCTTACGAAATGTTGTCGCTTCGATTTGGCAATTGTTGACACAATTTGCTGCACACCTTAGGCGTAGCCAAGGCCCCAGTTAGAAGAAGCCGCCTGCCCCTGCTAAGCTTCAATCCCATTTTAACAAATGACTAACCAAGTGGAAATGCGGCGAACCACACACACACACACACACGCAAATCTCTAGATGATCGGAGGCGCAACGCAAGGCAAAGCGATTTGTATGCCTTGTCTTTGGCTAACACAACCGCCTGTGGATTCCCACCAAGGCACAGGTCTCGCCGTCTGGCTATTGGTCAGAATGGGCTGGCCCGAACGAAAAAACCAACAAATATGGCAAGGTCTTAGGCATCATTTGTTCATTAGCCAAGCGCAAATTTGATGGTTCATTTGCGCGTCTATTTGTTTATTTGACTTTTGTCAGTCTTAAAATTGATAATTTGAAAACCCGATTCTGTGCGGCATAGTTTTTGGGCCGAAAGTACGGTTTTTTTTTTTCGTTCCAAACACGGGCCTTTTAGCACCTCTATTTTTTAAGGTGTTTGTTTTTTGGTTTTTTTTTTTTTGGTCACAGCTCATTTTCTGGTTCGTTCTGCGTTTATTGTTGCAGCAACAAAAATCAAACAAGCGGCCAGTGCAGGAAATGAGCCAAACCAGTTGGCTTAAGGCTTGCGGCTTGTTAGAGTCAAGCTTTGCCCTTCAACATACAATAAATATATTTTATTTTGATCGAGCCAAATAGATGAAGTTGCCCAGAATATTGGTGCTAACTAAAAAACGCAGTCACGGAAATGGCCAAAAGACCGAGCCACTTAATAGCCGCTTGATAAATTGTGGCCTTTGCGGAGTTCAAGTAGCCACTTGTATCAGCTAGTTTACAGTTATTAGAGGGGTTTTTGTTGTTGCTGCATTTTGTTAATTATTTAACGTACAATTTGTTACTGCTTCGCTCGTTTCGTGCCACTGTGCCACACGTGAGCTTGTGGATGCCCAAAATTTGTGCTGCGTCGCCCAATTACTTGTGATCTTGTGAAGCAACTTGTTTTCTACGCTTGTTTAATTCATAATAATGAATATAATTTACTTTTACTCGGTTACATGATAATTTTGCATTGCACAGCAATGACAGACACACACACACACACCCAAGCAGGCACAACAACAGCCCAAAGTAAACGGCGACAGCTTTCAGCAGCCCAGGGTTTATTTTCATATACAGAGCATATTTTATATACACTCGTAGAGGGTTTTTTAGTTTCGTCATGAAATTTGTAGGAAAGAAAATTTGAAAGGAAAGATCTCCGAGCGCATAGAGTATATATATTCTTGATCCGCAACAACAGCCGATTCGATATGTCCATCTGTATTTCTGTTTGTTTCTATGGGAAATAGACCCTCAGGAAAAATAGGTCCGCCTTTTTGTATCTATTGATCAGATATCATAGAACTTCCACAGGGAAATTTGGTTGAAAATGTGAATGTGTTCCATGCTCCACAAATATGATCCATGCTTATCAACCTATGGCTACCTTATAATAACTCTTTCGAAAGAATCGATAAAATTTTTAGTTTTACAAATATATAACTGTTTAACGAGTTAGTTTAACGTAAGGTCAACGTTAACGTCAACAAATACGAGCTTCACAATTCTCCTCGCATATCTTTCAAGCTTTAAGCCATTTGTCTTCAAGGGTATTTAATCTTCGGCATGTCGAAGCTAGCAACTCTTTCGTGTTTTAATTTTTAGTTTTTGGTGCCAACATTGCGTTTGTCTAATAGCCACGCCCTAAGCGTTGACATCACACATCACACAGCACACAGCACACTGTATCTGTATCTGTATCTGTACCTGTATCTCAATTTGCATCTTTAGCCGCTTGAGCGTGCCGCAACTAAGAAGTCAACTGCTATCGTGTTTTTTTTTTGCTTTTGGCCAACTCATGCCCGCTCGGCAACAGCAACAGCAGCAGCAGCCGCTGCAAAACAAAAAGACCCAAAAGATCTTGTTAATGGCAAAGTAACTGGTCGCTGCTGCTGCTGCTGCTTCTTCTTCTTCGTATTAACCATTAACATATTTTTAAATATTTATGAACTTGAAAAACGCACACTTTTTCTTAACTTATTTTCAATATGAATTCTCCCTACCCATTGCAGAACATTGGACAAAACTCGTTCGCTTCGAGCATTTTGTGTTAGACGCTTGCGCGCTTAGCAGATTTTTAAATTTCACACACAGCAACAACTTCTTCCTCCCCCCTCTTCCCACCGGTAACCCACCAAAGGTTTGTTTTAAAACACGATAACCAGCAGAGGAAGTTGACACACAAAATTTAAAAATGGCGGCCGTTAACGCAACACAAACGGACTATTGGAACTTTCTGTTCATCGAGCTGGCCGGTAAGTGTCATTTTTGGCAACAGGAATTGACAGCAGGATTCAAGCACGTAACCTTCTTTGATTATATTTTATCTTTTCTTATATAGATCCGCGTACCAATGACTGGTTCCTGATCAAATCGCCGTTGCCGCTGCTGACCATTCTGGCCTTCTATCTGTACTTTGTGCTGTCGTGGGGTCCACGTTTTATGCGGGATCGCAAGCCCTTCAAGCTGGAGCGCACGCTGCTCGTCTACAATTTCTTTCAGGTGGTGCTCAGCGTCTGGATGGTCTACGAGGGCGTGGTCATTTGGCAGTATTACAGCTGGCGCTGCCAGCCAGTCGACTGGTCACGCACGCCGAAAGCGTACAGAGAGGCGCGTGTTGTCTATGTTTATTATCTGGCCAAGATCACCGAGCTGCTGGACACGATCTTCTTTGTGCTGCGTAAGAACGATCGTCAGGTGACATTCCTGCATGTGTATCATCACACAGTCATGCCCATGATCAGCTGGGGCACATCCAAGTATTATCCTGGCGGTCATGGCACCTTCATTGGCTGGATCAACTCGTTTGTGCATATCATCATGTACTCGTACTATTTCCTGTCTGCATTTGGACCCAAAATGCAAAAGTATCTGTGGTGGAAGAAGCACATCACCAATCTGCAAATGGTAAGTGCAAAATAGATCAGTGTATATGTATATATATGTAATCGTGCCCATTTATTTCCACTTAGATTCAATTCTGCTGTGCTTTCATACATCAAACCCAACTGCTCTACACCGACTGCGGCTATCCGAGATGGTCCGTTTGCTTTACGCTGCCCAATGCCGTGTTCTTCTACTTCCTGTTCAATGACTTCTACCAGAAGTCCTACAAGAAGAAGCAGGCAGCGGCCAAGGCCAAGGCCGACAAGGAGAGCATTACCAACAACAACAACGACAGCTGTGCCAAGAATCTAAATGCCGCCATAGCCACAAATACAGCACAGCAAAAGAAGGTGCTGTAGAGCAGCTAACCCCTCCAACCCCTCCAAAAATACCACAGACACACACACACACACACACACACACACACACACACACACAAACACACAAATACGTAATGGGAACTCACATACAAAATTTATATATGCACTGAAAAAATGGTTTATCTAAAGTTTAGAAAGTCGTCATAAAATAATTATTTTACTAAGTTCTTCATTTTCCTATATTTAGAAAAATTGCAGAAAATGTGCAACATTGCAATTTTCTAAATTTAAGAACGATTCACATTTGATGGCAACTTTCTAAAATTCAGGCAAAACATTTCATTTTCGAGTGTGGGAATTAAACCATCTAAATCTTAAGTTTATGGAGCGGGCGTTGTTCTATGCACAACTTTGTTGACTAATTTGTTAAGTAATCCGCCGCCGTCGCCAAAAAAAAAGAAAAAACTGAAAAAACAACAAGAAGAAAACAAATGAAAATATTGAGAAGTTGAGGTTCGAGTTAATAGGCAAACATTTAAATGCTTTTCGCAGCCATCGCTTCGTTTGATGTGTGTTTGACACAAATGAAAGAAGTTGTATGTTTTACGGCCCAAAAAACAAAAACCTTGATTTAAGTTAAGCAAACCCCTAGGAATACAAGAAGAAGAAGAATAAGAAGAAACCGGAATTAGTTGTGTAAATAAGTTAAGATACGCATTTGGCATAAGCAAATGTGCCTTTAGATTTTATACAAATAAAGTATACACTTATATATATACATAGATATTGGCATGTAAAGTACTTAGGCATAAACGAAAAGAAACCACAAATACAAAGAAATATACGTCATATTTTTCAAAAAAGAAAACAAACACCAAGAATTTTTGAATTATTTTTAAGCATTGCGTAGAATTTCTGGTGCTCCATGAATTGCAATTTTATCTAAATCATACGGATATAGCTGAGTGTACCGGAAGCATTAAATCTTTATCTAAGACATGGACAAAAAAGTTTGGACAAATGCTTTGGGCGTGCCAGAACAGGTCCCAGAGCTCGATCGATGCTTGCCATGCAGATTTATCAAGCTCATGAATTTTATTATAATTGCAGAACAGATATTGCCATTGTTAAGAACCCGGCAAGGCAGTCAAAAGGCATTATACATAAACCAATTTCAAGCTCACCTTGAGGATGACAGCCGTTAAGATGAGAATATTTATATATATATATATATATATATATATATTATACACATAAGTATAAACATATATAGTATTTGATGCGCACAGGCCATGGGTTTTTCACACAACCTTTTATTGATCAATTTGTTTGAAAAACGGAACCTTAAAACCCAAAGCGGAAGCTAAAAGCATAATTGACGGGCAGCGAGCAGCATCTCTGAGCATCAAGAGCTGCCAACAGTAGCATTTGAGCCGGTTCTGCTTTCGGCCTTGATCTTGACCACAAACTCTTAGCGTCTGCGCATTTGACTCTTTGTCTCTTCGATCTTCGGTCTGCTTTTGATTTTGTTTAGATTATCGCAGATTTCAGCGCAGGGTCGTGATTTGGGGTCGCCCAAACAATTCATGATGATATTTATTTTTTTTTTTTTCAAATTATAAATTGAAAAGCTTTTGGTCTAATTGAAAATTATATTCAATGACTATTAATCGGGTGCAAGAGAAATTTGCCTTTTGTGAGTATTTAAATTTATTGTTATTATATATGATTTTCATCAGTAAATAGCTTCAAATTGGAATCAATTATGAATCAGATTTGAAGGCTACATTTGCGTTTAGATCTTCCACAAAAATTAAAAACAATCTTGAGCGAGATTAATATAATAGTGAAGCCATATTTTATTAAATATATTTGCCAAATCGTTATAGAGCACAAATAAAAAGACTTGTCATTTTTACATTTCATTTTCGCACTCATTTCCATAAATTTTCAATTGTGCCTCAAAGTATGCCAGCTTTTATGAGACGCGAATTCAAATTTTTCAATATATTCCAAATGCTGGTGACCTGCTGACCCTTTGCTTTTAAATGAAAATCAGGCGATTCCATTAAACAAAAACTGAGAATCCAAAATATAAATAATTCTTACAGTCCCAGGCAACTGAAATCTTGATAAGATTTGAAGAGCTTAAGTGTGTCAATCAGATAAGCGTTAATAGGAAAGACTAAAGCTATAGTATATCTTAAAAAATGATTGTATTTCAATATTGTAGGGAACGGTGGAAGGTATCCAAATTTGGAGTCCCTAGCTGCTATAAGCTTCAGGATATGGTAAAAAAAAATGAGATATCAGTATCGATGTTATCGTTTTTGTGGACACGGGGCAAGGTTTCCATGTTCCAATATAATCTCGATCTTTTCGTGAAACAGTAGGACCCTCGCTCAAAATTGCAGATCTCTAGCTCGTATACTGTCTTAAGGCCAGAGGGACATAGCTTCATTGACTCGGCCGATGACACAGAGCAAATATATGCTTTATGGGCATGGAGAAGTCTCCTGCTGCGGTTACATCAATTAGCATAACACAATTATACCCGTTTCACTAATTTTCAATAGGTTCAGGTTCTAATAACAACCGCATAAAATATTCCACCTTCAAATTGTCAATCTATATATAAAGATTACCAAAAAGACAGATAGACACATCGATGTATGCTTGATCTCTGGAAGACACGACTCGTTGAGAAACATTCTAAATTCATTTGCATATGTGGTGATTAATGGTATAATATACTGCCTGAACAAGGGTGCGCGACTCTGTTAAGTCCCTCGCGTTTTAATTTCTGGAATAACTAGTCGGCATGGACTCGCATCGGACAGCATGCCAGAACAGCTCTTTGCCGCTTCGAGCACAAAGTTTTAAATAAGAAACTATTTAAACATCATACATATATCGGGCTATAATAATAATAATATACCCTTTGCCCCCATGTGTAGCTGAGTATCGGATGAAATAAAAGGAATTTGAATTTTTAATTTCCTTTGAATTGGTGATTCTTAAGAGTCGCCATAATGTCTCAGCGAATCGCTGGATGAACCTGTTTTTATGACAGATTAAAAAAAATACGAATAAAATAAGAAACAATTGCATAATTATAAGGCACGCGAGTCGATTTCGAGTCGAAGGCCTGTGATTTGTCTGGGTATTAATCACTGCAATAATAGAAACTCAGCAGTTGGGATCTGCATAAATTTAGTATATCGCTTGACACGAGCTAATTTTCAGTTCAGTCTTTCAGTCTCAAATTTCAGGGGCTTGGGGGAACCCTGCGGCCATCATAAATATATATTATACATATATATATATTGAAAGACAACTGGTTTGTCAGGTGATTAGAAAGAACTCGAAGGCCAAAATGGCTTAGAACGCATAGAACACATTAGAGATAGTAATAAAAAATCAAATTGATTTTTTTCCTTTAGTTTTTAAAAAAGTTGAAATAAATTTGGATTTTTTATTTTGTTCAGAAATCATATAATTGGAAACAATCAAATTTCGAATAAAAAATTAACAATAAGTTTCTTGCATTTCAATACTAAGGGCAATGCACAGACACGCACACACTCACACACATACACACACTCAGGCACACGCACACTCGCACACTAACACTTACACGCCTAGGTATTTGGATGTAATCTTCTGCTGTTTGGCATAAACTTTATACATTCTACATTTAAGAAGCTCATTATTCAGAATCATTTCATATACAGTTAGGGTTATGGTTTAAACATTTAACACTAGACTTAAGCCCTGCTCTAAACAAAACGTAAAGTTAAACTAAAAACAAAGAAACCCCACCAAGCCCCGTGCACAGCCAAATGGCTCATTCCACCTTTAGGGGCTTCACATTGTTGTTGTTCAGATCGATGTAGGGCTTGAAGTCGCTGCTGCTGTTGTTGTTGTTGTTCTTGGAGGGCATCGGCATGCAGCCCATGCCGCCGGCAGCGCGCAGCGCCGACTGCGCCAGGTTCAGGCTCCTGCCACCATTGCGTATGGCATGACCATTGGCATCGACGCTCTTGTTCTTGTTGTAGGTCTTGCGATAGAAATTGCCGAATAAATAGAGGAAGATGATCGTGTTGCCCACAAAGAAGAAGGTTAGTGTCTTTGGCATATTGCAGCCCTTGGCGCCGACGGTCAACATATAGCCAAGGATGAGAACGAACTGAATCAGCTGAATGCTGGTCATGTACTTCTTCCACCACAGATATTTCTGATATTGGGGTCCCATCGCAGCGACCATATAATAGAAGTACATAATGATATGCACACCAGAGTTGAGAATGCCAATGATGACGCCCTGTTCGCCGGGCGCATACTTCAGATAGCCCCAGGAGAAGAGCACTGTGATCGTATGATGATAGACATGCAGGAACGAGACCTGATTGTTCTTCTTGCGCAGCACAAAGAACGTGGTGTCCAGCAGATCAATGATCTTCGAAAAGAAATAGAACCAGGCGCCCGAATAAAGTGCCAAATTCTGTTCGCGTGTGCGATTTATTTCGCATTTCTTTGATAATATCGATGCCATGACATTGCTCTCCTTGATGGACTGTGGACAAGAGAGTGTTTTATATAATTCAAAATCTGTCTCTGTTAAGTATACGCCACGTGTACTTACCGTGCGACACATCCAAATGGAGTAGCAAACCTGAAAGGCATTGTACAAGACCATAATACGCTTCAGATCCATTGGCTTGCGATTCTTCATGTACTCCGGCCCAATCTTAAGCACAAATGCCAAATAAACCAGAACGACAGCCACAACGGGAGCCGGTGAGCTCATCAGAAACCAGCTATCCACAGTTTCATCTGTCCCCATAAAGTTATATGCTTAATACAAATTGAACAATATGTAGATCAAGTTGGCTACACTTACCCACACCCTTGGCCAGGCCGGAGATGCGCTCCTCGAATATCTTCATGTAGGTCGTCATTTTAGTTTAGCTTCGACTGCAATAAAAAAGAGATCGCAAAACATTTAGAAATTTTCGTTAGCTCGAGCGTGTTTTTTCGTTTTGTTTTTTTTTTTTTTAATGAATTGGGCGCTTGACGTCTGTAGAGCGTGTTGCCAAATTATTGAATGAAATATTCTAAGCTGACCGCTGCTTAGACAGGCCGCGCACGTCCGGCTTAGCTCCGAGACGGAGACGGGTTGGAGCTGTTGCTATTGCTGTTGCCTGGAGCCGGGTGCTTGATTATGCTCGCCAGGTGAGCGTGCGCGGCATAGGAATGCAGTTAAGCACGCAAATATTTTATTTAATGAAAAGAAAATGCTTATCCCATATGCAAAAGGGGCCGCTGCCGGCGGCGGGTGTTCGACGCAAGCCCAAAACCGTATGAGCAATAAATGACGCCAGCAACTTCCACACAGAGGCTGCAGCAAGCACTTATACAAATGTCTCAATTGATCAATGCCAAGCCGGTGCAACAAGTAGTTGCTATATAACAAAAAAAAAACAAAAAAACAAAAAAACAAAAACTAAAATGAAACTAAAAAAAAATCAATAATAAGAGAATTCGCATAATTAAAACGCGCGGCTTCTTGATGGCTTTTGGTTTTAGCGGTTTGGTGGCTGAAAGACCTGATCAAGCTGTGCTGTGGTATTAGTGTGTGCTCGTGTGTGCGTGTGTGTGTGTGTGTGTGTGTGTGTGTGTGTGTGTGTAGTGGCATTCTACAAGGCTAGATTTGAATTTTTCGCCTTGGCACTAAAGTCGTATAACTTTGGCATTCATCTTGCAGATGCCAAGTGTAGCTACACACATGTGAGATTTTAGTATTCAAGATGGCGCAGGCTCCCACACACACACACACACACACACACACACACGCAC